AAGGTGTTTATAGTCGAGGACATTCACAGTGGGTTGAGGGAGGAATATGTAAATACTGGTGGTGACCATCTACAGGGTTGCAGAACCCATGACCGTAGCTGTCATGAATAGTTCTTCCTTCTTTTGCTGTCCACATATCCACGTGTGTGAGTCTAGCAAGTGTCCTCACTTCCTCCATCCCCTGCTCTCATGTCACAGGAAGTGTCCTGACTGTCTCATAGCATATGCCTTAGTCTCGCTCAGTTCACATCATTCTTAACTTACATGGTATCAGGGACAAGAGGAACTCTCAGTCAACACCCCTTTTTCTAGGCTAGAGTGTAGAACGTTTCCAGCTGTGCTCACTGTAACTGCACCATAGAAAGCAGAATGACAGCCACATTGTGGTCTTAATTTAAAGTACACTTAAGGGAATGAGGCAGACTTGGAATAGTTGAATTTATATGTCAACTTGACTGGACTATATACTGCCCAAATATTACTCTGAGTATGTCTGTGAAGTTGTATGTAGATGTCCCTACCATCTAAACTGGCAGGCTAAGCATCCCTGCCCTACTATGATTTAGACACAGACTGCTCATCAAAGCCACCTGTCAATCTTGAACGATTATGGACCCTATGAGGGGTGGGAGTTAGGTCACTGAGGATACGCCTTTGACAACCATGCTGGGGTTCTACCTCCCTCTTTCTCTACATCCTTCTTGAGATGGACAGCTGTCTCTTCCACACACTCCTGACATGATATATTGCCTGGTAACAAGTCCTGAAGCACCATGGTCAACCAAGCAGGCACTGATACCTCCAAAACTCTGAGCCAAAATAAGCCTTTCCTCTTTATAAGTTGACTGGCTTCAGGCATTTGTTATAGTAATGGGAAACTGACTAATAAACTCTCTAATGTGCACAGTCCTCATCCGGTAGAACCACAGGCTGACCCTCCACAAACAAGAGACTGTTACTCCGGCCCAACCACCTTGGGGCTGGGACATCACTAATTTCCTAGTTTCTGGCTCCAATGGAAACACTAGCTTTTCTTGGATCTGGAACCTACTGACTTGCTGACTGAAAAATGCACCATCAGCTTCTTCAGCTGTCTCTAGCTGCTCTCTCTCTCTCTCTCCCTGAAGAACTCTGACTAATACTGGAACCAACATTCCTTTTATATGAAATATAAAAAGTCATTGTTAATCCTTAAATGAGAAGACTTGAGGTCAAGCTGAGAGACGGAGGAGTAGGCATCATGTGTGAGATTTCCGAACATTGGCCGCCACTATGAGGTGTCTGGGAAGCGAGAAACCCATAGCCACCTGAATCTATGTCAAGTAGGTGTCTGCAGTCATGATTCTAGGAAATCTGAGATAAGGATATCTTTCATTCCAGCAAACTCATAAGACCCATAAGCAGAGATTTCAACCAAAGAAGCCCCAACTTGAAGAACACCATGTCACTTTCCTCCCTTCTGCCCAATGACGAGCCTTCAGGAGCCTCTCTCTGCCGAGACAAACGTCATTCAGCAGCCAGCAGCCCCTCCCATTCTGTGAATGTCCAAGCATCAAATATACATAACACATTCAGCAGATGAGAAAGCAGAATTTGACTTTGGGAAAGAGAGAGGATAAAGTTTTGTTTAAAGTAATTTATTGGCATTTGGGACAAAAACTGAACCTCATCTTGTATCAGCGATGTTTCTGGTTGCTCTGACAAGAGCTGACGAAAGCAATGTTAAGAGATGAATGCTTTAACTTTGACTCATAGTTCAAAGGAACCCTCCATCACAGCAGCGGTGAAGCTTTTATGCATAAGAATATCAAAACTTACATAAGGGCCTGAGGAAACAGCTTAGTTGGTAAAGAGCGTGTCATGTAGGCAGGAGGACCTAGGTCAGATCTGCAGAACCAACATAAACAACTGGGTGTGGTGATGCCCATGATCACAGTGTTGGAGAGGTAGAGACAGACCCTGGGGTTCACTGTCTACCCAGCCTAACCTACTAGGTGGTTCCAAACAAGTGAGAGACCCTGTCTCAAAAACAAGGTTGAAATCTAGGGGTGGTGGTGCATGCAACAACAGAGGTAGGCAGATCTCTATGAGTTCAAGACCAGTATTGTTTACAAGTTCTAGGACAGCCTGGACTACAAAGAGAGACTCTATCTAAAAAAAAAAAATGAAAAAGTAGATAGTGTCTAAGACTGAAGTTGACTGCCACTGGCCTGGTGATTCTCTGCACTGAGAGCTCACGATGCCTTCAGTTAGATGGTGATACCATGGTGATGATGACGACACTGATGATAGAAGGCTGTGTGTTTCATCTATGTCTCCAGTTGTCTTCAGTCACCTCTTTCACTATTTCAGGAAGACCTTCCTTTGACATCTCAGGGAATGTCCCCCCGACTCTGCAGCTCTGAGGATAGCCTGGAATCCATCACTCAAACTCAAGTCAGTGTGTGTGTGTGTGTGTGTGTGTGTGTGTGTGTGTGTGTGTGTGTATCTGTCTGTCTGTCTGTCTCTACGTATCTGTGTGTGTTTAAATAACTATTATAAGATGGAATTCAGAAAAGAAATTATATTTAATATTAGTATCTCTAAAAAAATCACTTTTTTACAAATTATTCTGCTTTTCTAAAGCTGCTGGCAGGGTTAGTGTTTCATGGGATTTCAATTTACAAAAGGCTTAGATTTCAAAAGACTACGACTTCACTTTCAAGTTCAGAGCAGTTAAACAAGGAGCCATTGTATTCTCTTTTATGGGAAGTTGAGTAAGGAAAACTGTCTGATGGTTTTGCTGTGACTCATCCTCCTCCGTGACACTGGCGTTCTCCAACTTTCTTTTCACTGAAAAAAAAAAAGTATCTCTGTTTGTATTTCCATTGTAATTGTACAGAGGGAACATGAGGTGACCAAGGGTGTCTTGGGACAGGTATGATGGACTTTTATAAAATTTTTGCGGGGCTTTGGAGCTAGCAAGCAAGAGAATCTGAATTCAAGTCCCATGACCCACATTAAAAAGGGGAAGCAGGTGTAATCGGTGCTTACATCCGCAGTCCTAGGGTTGGTGGAGAAAGGCAGGTTCTGGGGCTCACAGGCTGGCCTCCCTACTTGGCAGCCAGTGTGAGATCTGGTCTCAAAAACCAAGGCAAACAGCATTAGAGGAGTGAACACTGAAATGGCCTCACACATAAAAGCAGACCTGTGCAGACACATGTACTTAGAGATGTTTTCTTAATTGAAATAACTGTAAATTCATAGAAAGTAACAAAAATAATATGGCCCTATATCCTTCACTCAGCTTCCCCCAATAACAGCGCCCACACAATCAGGTTCAAGTAGACCCCCCCCTCTATCTATCTATCTATCTATCTATCTATCTATCTATCTATCTATCTATCTATGTTTGTGTGTGTTTGTTGTGCATTCATCTGTTTCTGTATGTGCAAATAGACATCACCTAGAGTACAGATTTGTGTAACCACCAGCACAGCTCACTCACTGTCCATCACCACAGAGAAGCCCTTTCATGTTTCCTTCTTAAATCTGCATCCCACTGTCCTTGTTCCATAGCTACCACCAATCACTTCTGCATCTCAACAATTTTGTCCTTTCAAGAATGCCATAAGAATGGAATCCAACAGTATGTGCCTAATGAGTTTACTTTTCAGTAGCCATAATGTCCAGTATGAGTGGTAGTTTATTTTATATATTTTCTTCTTTGGAAGCTACCCTTTTTTCCATTTCTTTTTTTTTTTTTTTATAAAATGAAGATATTAGGTGCTAGGAATATCAGAAATAATGAAATATCATGAGCAGGTCTACTGGCTTATTTCTTGACACTCCTGCTGAGAATTAATTACTGTAGATCACCCCACACCCAACGTCATTCTTTCTGTCCCAACAGTTTAGATGAGGTCATCTGAAGGTCATGGGAGATAAACATAATCCACAAAGGACTAAATCAGAAATTGGTTCCATAAAACTCAAAGGCTTAACTTTGCTTGAGGCAATGATTATGTCATTCCCCATCCCTAAGAATTATGGGATGGATAACTTTGTAATCACATGTATATACCTGGCACCTAAATTTAAATAGAATTTTTCCACTCTTAGCTCAAGTTGATGACTTCAAAGATAAGAAATGAATTCACTTTTTGTCAATCATTTCCTGTTTCTACTTTATCTTCTCATCTTTGGAGGTTTGTGCTAAGGTCTTCAAGTTTGGAATGAGCCTAGCAACTATTCAATAGCTTTTCACAATGGGAGAAGATATTTCTGGAGTGGTCAAGAATATTTTCATCGAAATCAGGAGCATACTTTGACAATAGGAAGTCTTAACAATCCTGTGAATACTCTTGAAGGAAGATTTCCAAACTAAGTATTGGCAGGAAGACGTCTAACACATGTTTTCTCAAGTAACCACCTGAGGGACATATAGTGTGAATGGGAGCGGGGGGCGAGTGCCCTGATCTTTAGCTATAGACTGTCTTTGCATGAGGTCAGGAGATCATCCAAGGACCTGGAGACCCTCAGGAGCTCTAATCTCAGTGTTCATTAGACTGTATCAAGTCTTGAAGCACCTAGAAGGGGCAAAATTGAGGAACAAGGAAGGCAAAAAACCACGACTGCACAGCATCTTACCTGATGCCCAGCAAACATCCTCCGCAGTTACCGGCCATCACATGTCATTCTCAACACAACAGATACAAGCAAGTGCTTTTAGCTTGAGATTCTGGAAATGTTAACATCTCAGGCACATTCATTCCCAAACCACCTTCAGTTCATCTTTAGGAATGTGCTGAATTTTATTCCTGGAACCTTGTGCTTTGATTAGAGGCTCATCTGAGGCTGCCAGGGCTGATCTTGTCTATAGGGGATTCATTGGCACAATTTGCTCACATCTGTAATCACAGATGAGCTTGTCTTCATTTAGGGTTTTTAAAGTTTATTTATTCTTTTTGATTTACTATTTTCCCTATCATCGCTGGATTATTTTGATTCCTTTCTACTTGGATGTTTCCCTTGTAAGATATTTCCATTAGCTTTGAGCATTAGAGGCTTAGAATAGACTTGGAAACTAAACAATACATTTCAAAACCAAATGAGACTTAGAACATTGTGAGGCCGCCCATTAGTGCTCACTGGTTGGTGTTTCTATCTCATGAGGGAGATGTGTTAAGTTTCCCAAGAACAAAGTCTCAGCTACTGAGGAAAAGGTCTTTGCTAGGTGGCCCCGTGTGTACCAATGAACCAAGACAACTGAAGATGTAGATGATATAAGTTTCTGAAAATGGACTGGAATTGTGGGATATTGAAGACACGGTACCTCTAAGGCATCATGTCCTTTCTAGGAAATGAGCCTCAACAAGTCCCATGAAAAGTAATACAAGGACAATGCACATCTTGTAGATGTCAACTAACATTTGGGTTAAACTGAGTCTTAGGCATCAGTTGCATGTTAGGTTTGCCTCTAAATAGGAAATTAATAGTTTTAAAAAATGAGGTTGGGCAGATTCCCAGCTGCTACTCACATGACCAAGGAAAGGTCACCCACAGCATCCAGGGCCCTTATATTCTTCACATTCAAACAGGGTGAAGGGCTTAAACACTAACAGGTGACAAGTAGAGACATTTGTAGAACTCAAAGGGAAGCTGGCCCCAGAGCTTCCATCATGCCTGGGAAGGTGATTCCCGGTACCGTGAGGGAGAGAGGAAATTAGGTGCAAATGCCATTCCTAATTTTGTACACAGTTTAACTGAGTTACGCTGCAAGGCATGGGGAGGAAGTGACCAGGCAAACGAATGTCCTCAAGAGTCTGTCCTTAAAGATTTAGGCTTACAAGAATTTGCTGATTTCTTCTTAGTGATGACAAAGGCAAGCCAAGTCTCCTCACTTATACCCAGTGAGCACGCACTCTTCAGAAACATCAACTGATAAAACGCAGAGCATTTCAAACACTGTCCATAAAGAGTCTACCTTGCAAACCCCCACCTCTTCAAAACTACAGCGGTTTTTTTTTAATCAACTTCTCTCTTGGAATGTGCTTTCCAAATGTGGAGTGTCCTGACTTGTAGGCATAATAAACAATCTTGAGAGATTAAAATAAGTGACTGAAGGCTTCTTTTCATTTTTCAGCAAACCCTTTGTAAGAATAAAAGAATCGCTCTCCTTCAGTAACGACAGGATTACATCATCGATCAACCACATCCAGTGGATAGAACTCGAGGTGAGACACCGTGTTTGAAAGGAATTGTTTCTATGGCAAAAAAAAAAAGTCAGTAATTAAAAGTTCTAGACAAAGGACCTTCTCTTTCCATCCCAGCACCACCCCATCCCACAAAAACCTACCAATCCCCACCCTGAAGGGAAAAGAGCAAGTGCCGAGTTGGGGGGATGTGCTGAAGGTTTTGATGTGTTCTCTCCATCTCTAAGGTTAAATATGAAAATGTCAGTCATGGGCTAAAGGTGGTTTGGGAGAAAGTGTTTTCAGGTAATGCACATGTGGAATGCATTGGTAGAAACTCGCTGTACTGACCCTAAGATTTATTCCCTGGCCCCTGGTCTCCTGTTTCCTGACCGAGGGCTCGGATCTATCTTGTAGACACTGTGGGGTTGGTTTGCGGCTACAGCTCCTGCTGACCATGCCAGAGTCACCACTGTGACGGGAAAGGAAGATAGAATGCAGCATTCTCTTCGGGGGAAGAAGCTCTTCAGGGGGTGAAATTAAGCATTTGGGAGTTTAAGTAGCATTTCTCGGGGTCCTGAAAACTGTGTGGGCCAGCAAGATGGTTGAGCTGATGAGCTCACTTGCCACACAAGCCTAAAGACCTGAGTTCAAATCTGAGGGGCATGGTGGAAGGAGAGAACTGATTCCCTCCTGAAATCTGCCTCATGACCTCCACACAGGTGCCATGGCATGCATATGCATGCGCATACAAGTGCAAGCACACACACAAATAGGAGCACACATGCACACACAATTTTTCAATTAAAAAAAATGTGTAAAAACTAGTCACCACGTTTTCCCAGCATGCTTCCTAAATGACTTTAACTTGTGGCACTTGGGAGAACGATACAGCTCTGTGATTACTGTGTATTTATAGGGCTGAATGTGTTCAGCTTCCTGCGGATATGACTGTTAATGGCTAACCATGAAAACTCAGTCTTTGCCAGGTATCTCTTGCTGGGCTCCTAAACACTTTTCTCAGTTATACTTGTCAAAAATTATCACAGATAAAAAGAAAGTATTGCCACAGTGAAGCAGATTTCAAAATCTTCTTTGATGATAGTCACAGACACGGAAAAGGGTTCATCTGAAGTCTAGATGTCTCTGAGCATCTCCCTTCTCTGGGCCCTTGCACACCAACAGGACTTTGAAGCTGTTGGAGGCTCAATGTGTGTCTGGTCCAGCGGCCAAATCAGTTGCCTTCAGACCCACGGATTCTCCAAAATAGAGTGATTTTCATTCACTCTGTCCAGTTTTCTAAAAAAAAAAAAAAAAATAAGAGGAAGATAATAAAATCACAACAAGGAAACACATGAATTTCTAGAAAAGTGACCCCCAAACCTTTGTTCATTCCAATCTAGTTGGTGTCAGATCCAAGCTTACAATTGAGGCCAGATCTGATCCATTTTAATATTTAAAAAATTGGATCCGAAGGGAAGGAAGCCTGGTTTTGGTTTGTGTTAGATACACCTAGAACTGAACAAAGAGCTCGGCTCCCGCTGGCCAAGCGCTCCGCCCCTGAGCCACACCCCCAGCCCTCTGGATGCTGTTTATTTTTGGACAGGGTCTTACTGAGCAGTCCAGGCTGCCATTGAACTCACTGGCCTTCTCCCTGCCTCAGCCTCCCGAGTGGCTACAACTGCAGGCTTGTGCCAGGAAGCTAGGCTTCATGGTTCCTATTTGTAAGGTTTTTTTCCTTTTTTTTCCATACAGCTGTATTTTAACAAAGTAGGTGAGAAATAAACTAAATTAGTCCAAAACTTTCCATATATCCATAAGATGCCATCTTGAATTCCATTTCTCAATCAGTAGGATTCCATAGCAATATTTAAGCCAAGGACATGAGAATGGGAGAATATAATTCATCCAAGTATCTGAGAAATGCACTCAGTGCCTGCCATTGTCTATGTTTGGAATCACAGTTCTATAAAGTGTACATCTGGACTAGCGTATTACCTGCCCACCCAATGCCAGCCCTGCAGCCAGCCATGTCCTGATTCTGCCACAGTTGCGCATGCTTCCTGCCAGCCAAGAGGGAAGTGCTGATAGGCACAGGGAAATGGTGTACACAATAAAAAATATTTATCTCTCTGTGTACATGTGTGTGCCGTGTACACATATGTATGTGTGTACAGATGTATGTGTCCATGTAGGTGCAGAAGCCATAGACGGCAGCCAGGTTTCTGTAGACACTGCTTGCCAACTCATTTGCTTCCGATTTGCTTCATAATTCTCTAATTTCTGTAGCTTCTGCAGAACGGGTGGGAAAATGGTTGAAACGGGCCTTGGAATAGTCAGGATTGTAAATATGTGGAAAACACCGAAGTTCAGACATGCTGAAATATGCACTTCTGGCATCTCTGAGGAGAGTGTGTTTTATTCCTGTTGATCTTTGTGTTGTGTGGTGCTGTGTACATATGGTGTACATATGTGTTCATGCGGGTGTGTGCCTTGTGCATGCAGAGGCATGTGCACGTGTGTGTGTGTGTGTGTGTGTGTGCACGAGTGTGCGCGTGTGTGTTGGGGGGGTGGTCAGAGGTCAACATCAGCTGTCTCCCTCTGAATTTGAAGCTCACGATATCTGCTGTATAAGCTGACCCGTGAGCTCTGGGGATCTACCTGTCTCCGATTCCGCCCTACTTCAGAGTGAAGGGCACAGGAGTATGCTACAAGATGTCTGTAGAGACTGCCTCTAGGTTAGACCGCTTCCCTTGTAGGTTGGACTCTTCTGGTGAACTACCGCCATCACCCCAAGATTCTATAACTGAACCCCAGTTATACCTCACAGGTACAATGTAAACATGTCCAGGAAGGCAAACTTCAGGGTGGAATTTTTAAACACAGTTTACCCAACTTCGTAATTCTGTCCGTGCATCCTTCTTACCATGGTAACAAAGACATTCAAACAGTGTGGGTTCCAGTCCAACGCGCACTGAGTCTACACACGGGATTGTCATTTCTATATAGTGAGAGAGTGACTTCTGTGTGTTCGCTCACCCCTCCATGCGATGCACTAAAATGGGGGAGGGGAGATTGTTCTGATCTCCTGAGCAACCTGAGTTTCCACTCTGGAGGTAAGTGTCCACAATCCTCCTTCAGTGGTCACCCTATTTTTATAATCATTAACTGTTTCCTTTGGTACTAAAATTAGACCCTGGTTGACACAGGATTATTTGAAATTTCTCAACATAGTGATCTCCAGGCTAGCCAGGGCCGCAAAGTGAGACCCTACATCTTAAAAACAAATGGTAACAACAACAACAACAAAATTAGCTTCTAGAATATGAAATCTGGGGGCTTTTTCTGGTTACTTCCTATCTATAGAGAATATTTCTAGACCAACAGACCATAATTACATAATATGCGTTTAAATAGTTACTTTAGTCCATTGGCGGCCAGGGCTACAAAAATTATCATCACGCTTTGTTCTTTTTCAGTCTGCGACTCCAGTCTGTGGGAAACTAGGGTTCATTTACTTCAGAAAGAAGAAAGGAGGAGGAGGAGGAAGGGGAAGATGTGAGAAGGGAGAAGAGCGAGAGAGAGCTTTAAAGCCTCACAGATCTTGAGTGGCAAAGCCTGGCCCCTGGTCTCGTTCCCGCCCCACGCCTCAGTCTCTCCATCTGTAAACTGGGGACAAGATAGTCTCTTCCCCTCTGCTTGAGGAGCACTGGGAGAAGGGTGAGGTAATGTCTCCAGGACTTCTGAGTGACTCAGATGAAAGGCAACGCAGTAAGGACAAAGTTTCTCCAGCTACGCGTTAAAGCTCCCTAGTGTTGAAAGCACCTTTCACATAAGCGTGCAGAAACAACTGTAAAAGGGAATAAACACGTCCTTTGTCTCACTTCCTGTATCCCAGATGCCTTTTCTCCAACTGTTCTTGTCAGTGTGGCACCAAGAGCACATTCATTGATTAGGGGCAGCAGTTGGGGGGGGGAGCCTGGGGGGGGGCAAGGGCAACAAGGGACTCAATTGCCACTGCTCTTCTTCTCTCCCCCCACCAACCCCATGCTAAGCCTTAGCAGCACTGAGCTCAGTTGGGACCCCGAGGGACAGGTGAGACACAGCTTTCGATGCCTGGAGCTTCGGATGGAACTGTACCAGCTAGTTACTTAATAACTACACATGAACTCATGAGTTAAACGGTCCCGGTCCAGATGCAAGGTTGATCTCTGAGTGAGGACAGGATGTCTTCCTTGAAAAGCCAAAGGGCTCCATCATTTGGTCTGAAGTCCGTGCCCTTCACTGGGGTACGGCCTGGGTCCCTGGTGCATTTACCTAGAGATTCTTAAATTTTCTCACTCAGGACCCCTCTTCACCCCATACACATTTCATACAACCCAAGATATATAAAGTATGCATTCAAATTAAGCATTTACTGGTTTATAACAGAGAAATTTGTTTTAAAGCAGCTCTCTGGCGTATATACAGTTTTACCGTTTGTTGAAGACTAAGCTGCATGCTGGTGAGGCAGATGTGCCCAGCCGTCTTAATTCACACGAGGAATCAAGCCTTGGCTGGGCACTGCAGGATATGGAGCGTCTTCAGTGTTTTTCAGAGATGATTGATATCTTGATTTTGTAATTGTTAATGCTGAGAACTCTGCCTCCCTGAAATGAGTCCTGCAGTACAGCAGAAAGAAGTGTTTGGGGCTATTTCAGAAATTGTTGGAAATTCTTTTCTAATCAAAAGCAAAATCCATAGAAGAATTTTCTGTGGAGCTTAACAACTTTAGCAGCAGATTTTTTTAAATTGTGTGTATGTGTGCGTGTGTGCGTATATGTGTGTGTATGTACGTGTGTGTGTGCATGCCTGTGTGCATGTGTGTGGACATGCACACACTGCCGTGTGTATGGAGAGGTCAGAAGACAACCTTGAGTGTTGGCCCTTGTCTTGCACTCCGCTTGAGACAGGCCTCTTGTCCTCTATGCTGGGCTAGCTGGCCATCATCTTCCAGGAGTTCTCCTTGCCTGGCTTCCCATCTCAGCTCAGGAGTACCAGGAGAGCAGACGTGCACAGCGCCACCCAGCTTCGTGTGAGTGCTGGGAATCCAAACTCAGGTCATCACTTACCCCTGAGCCATCACCCCAAGCACAGAAAGCAATGTTAAAAGTCAAACATTCTAACTCAGAGATTCTCACCCTTCCTGACACTGGGACCCTTTAATACAGGTCCTCATGTTGTGGTGACCCCCCCCCCCCAACCAGAACATTATTTCTGTTGCTACTTCATAGTCATAATTATGCCAGTGTTAGGAATTTGCTAGTGTCACAGTGTAAATATCTGTGTTTTTGGTCTTTGGTGACCCCTGTGAAAGGGTAGTTAGGCCCCCAAGGGGGTCCTGACCCATAGGTTGAGAACAACAGTTTTCACATGATCAAATCCAAACATAGACTAGCATGATGCATGCTAAGGATGATGGGAGAAAAGGTTTTATTCTCATTAAACCATTTCGACTCTATATGAGCAGAAAGTTGTACATGTACAGTAAAAATGTACATATATGCACAGCAGTTCATAGCGTATTATAGTCTGGAGCCTGACCTGATGTGTTTGGGTCAGGGTTTCTTAGCCTGGCCTGGTGTGACATCACGCACTGTGCAGAGTGTGCGTGTTGTGTGTTTGGAACCAAGGCTGCAGTGACATCCCAGGATGCAACACACAAGCACCTGCCAGAATCACCTCCAATCCATTGGGTGTTCGATTCTCAGCTTGTTTTCAGTTGCCACTGTGGCTGAATTTTCTTCCTCCGCCTCCACATTCAGTTATGTGACCCCCAGAGAGAGCTGTGACTCGCTGTCCCCATCTGCACCATTACAAAATGTGTCTGTGATGAGACATTGATCCTTGTCACTGGGTGTCTGGGAGGTGGAGGCTGGAGCACTGAGAATTTTCAGCTGGCTTGCTGACTTATAAACAGATGTGGATCCTTCCTTACACAGCACGTGCTTGGGGGAACCTGTGACTTCCATCACCTCTGTGGCTCTGAGGAACAGGCATTTTTTGCTGCTGTAGAACAAATTGAGATGTTCAGTCACCAGTCCAAACCCTACAGCTAAACCTTTAACCAAGTGTTAGGGTCCCTGGGTCCCCTGTTCCTTGTGTAACCTCACCCTTCCTTCCTGTAGCATGAGCGTGGGTCTGTTTCTCTCTCTGCAGGTTTCTCAGTCACACACAAGTAGGTTGCTGCAAACGCAGAGTGCTCACCCCTGGTGCTCACAGGTAGACAATGAGTCAGAATATTTATCGCGTCCTTTGGTACAGCCCAGCCAGTACAAACAAACGCTGGTTATAAAATCGGCCCAAGGTCCCCTGAGAGAACGCCAGATCCTACCTTGAGTTTCAGATAAATACAAGTAATTTTTTGCCATAACTAATGCGTGGGGCATCCTGGTCCTAAAAACAGCTGGCCGGCAGAGTTGGGCACCTGGACTTTCAGTGTGACCTCTGATGTGTAAGCACTGCCGACTGGGGGGTAGCTCGCCTCCCCTGCTCACCCTCAGGGTAACTTCTCAGCAACTGTCCAAGTTCATTGGGACAGCCTTGAACCCAAAGCTCACTCGGGAGCCGGGGAGCCAACCCCAGCACCTCCATATTTGCCTCACCCGATGCTGCCGTCTGAGTTTCTGCGTCTTGCGGAATAGCTAACCTGCCCTGAGGAGTCTGCGCTTCTGCACCGAGGTCACGTGGCAAGGGTGTGTCATCTCCCCTTGAGAACCTTTGTTTGTGAAGGAGCATGAGGTTTTTTAATATATATGCAAACATGGATAGCGCAATGAGTCTGGCCCCGGACAGACCCAAACGAGATCCCATCTAGTTTCAACAGCTCAGCGCGCCGGGGTTTGAAGAGGCTATTACGGTAACTGAAATGCAGCCCTGTGAAGTGGCCGCCCACACAGGAAATAACTTGGAACAGGTGGTCCAGGGAGCTTGCTGGTCTCGTCTGCCTCCACCGGGAAGGCTTGTGGGCTCCTGAGTCACTGCATAATTATGAGCCTGAACAAAAGGTTCTCAGATAAGCGGAAGTCGGGACAGGGAAAGGCAAGGTGGAAGAGGTCTGTCTCAGCGTGCCGCGCGGCCAACCCACTTGATGGATGCCCGCTTGGGAAACAATGCCCCCGTGGTTCGTGACTCCCTGACTGCCTCCAGCACCCAGTGGCATGATGAGCCGGCACAGGTGGGAAGAGTCACTTAGGTTTTAAAGAGCTTCCCCGTGTTGGAAAAGATAGCCTGGTCAGGCTCAGTCACCGCGGAGACCCAGGAAAGGATTCTCCACTGTGTGCCTGCCCTGTGCGCTTGAGATGCACTTGAACATTCTATACGTCTCTGGTCTCTTCCCACCTGGGCAGTGGTGACATCTTTGCTCCCCTGTGAGCTTTGCCTTTCCGTCAGCGGGGTGGCAGGTTGAATTGTGTCCCTCTAAAGAAAATGCGCGCTGGAGTCTTAGCCCCTAGCGCTTCTGAATGTATCTGGGGTCATTGCAGGTGATAATAGGTGAGATGAGGTCAGACTGGCAGGGATTGAGTCGCATTCAATACAATGATGGGTTCATTATATAAAAGGCCGTCTCGTCTGGCTGGGGTGGGCCTGCATGTACAAAACTGCCTGTCAAAGCCTCTGGCTTCAAGCCACAGTCCCGTCAGGAGAAACATAAAGATAAGGAAAAACAGTGGAGGAATGTCGTGTGAACAGAGAGAGGCCCAGGAGGAAGCTCTGGGCGGCCATGATCAGGTGAGGGATCGATGCAGCCATGTGCCTCGGGTGCAAAGGCAGCTTGCCTAGACCGTGTTCTCCTATACAGCCGTGAGCACACGTTTGCTTGTGTTTTTAATGGTCTTTGTTTAACTCCGAGACAGGATCTCACTGAGTTGTCCAGTGTGGTCTTGACCCCCTGCCTCAGCCGCTCATTTAAAGGGAACTCCAGGCCTGTGCCACCAGTCCCAGCTCAGTAGACCGTTTCCAGACCCCTCTTCAGGGATGGGAATGCAGCTCAGTGGTGGGGTGCTGGTTACATACAGTACAGGAGGCAAACACAAGCAAACAAACAACTCACACACATACACACTCACACACATACACATGCTCACACATACAAACATGCTCACACATACAAACATACTCATACATATACACATACACACTCACACA